GGCGGGGACGGGAGGGACCCGCGTCTGCGGGGGCACAGGAAGGGGCTGAGAACACGGCGCCGTCCTCTCGCTGCAGACCTTGCACCGCCCCTGCCCCCCGCGCCGTCACACCCGCTGCCTCCAGCCCCGCACACACACGCACGCACACACTGTCGGTCATGGCGAGGGGCCCCCTGGGCTCTTAACAGCAATTCTGCAGCATCAAAACTGCCCCTGTTCGTTATACTAAACACGTTGACAAGTATTTTGTTCTAAACTGCTTTTCTGTAGTGTTGTATTCACAAAGGTAATTCGTTGGAGGAAAGATGGTGCAACTCCTGCCTACAAACAAAATAATTCAACAGACGAGGTGATGAATCCAAACTTTGGCGCCAGTGCTGCAGGAAAACAAGGCAGCAGACTCCTTCAGGAAAGAAGCAATACCTGGTAACAGTGGGGTGATGACATCAACAGCCTCAGAGGCTGCAGATCTAGCTATAGACACTACTTTAACTGCAAGTGAGAAAGGGTCCATTGTGGCAGAAATACACACACCAAACACATGGAACATCTAATACATTAACCACGTATTTGACAGATAAAACATAACTCGGTGTATATGGTGGCATGCAGACAAGGTCATGGCTTCAACTAAATGGCCAGAAGTGTCATGGGCTCCTGGATGACAGGGAGAGCTCAGACCCAAGGACTTCTATAGAATTGTGGGTTTGGGGGCTGCTGCATGTGTCACTGTTTGCTCTACAATCTAAAATGCAATAGCAGGATTTTCTTTTTCCCTCTAAAACCTGGGTAAGAAAAGCTGGGAAGGAATAAGAGAACAGAGAACGAAGTGTGAGAAACTATAGTTCGGCTGTCAGGCCAAAGTCTGGATAAATAATAATTACTTCTGTGTTTGTTCGTTTTCATTTATTTACATTATTATCTAGTTTTACCAGGTTTTTTAAATTATGTTGAATATCTTTTCATCCCAGGACCATGAGGTGGTAGCTGTAGTCAGGAGGATGCTGCCTGCCAGCAGCACAGCAATATTTGTTGTTACTGCAGCTATGGATAAAAACAAAAACTGAAATGCTGCAAGCCAGTAGATACAGAAACAGTTAATCAGAAGTGATCTGCTTTGTTCCACCATCAGCAAATAAGTTTCATGCACAGGCACTCAGACAACCACATGTAGAAAGAGGACAGTCACAAGTTTCTTGGTGGAGATCGTCAAATTAAAGACAGATTAAAATTAAAGGTCAGATGACATTTCCCTCAAGCAGTGGGGGCACCGGTTGTGGAAAGTAAACAAGCTCAGCAGATGCACACATCTGCCTTGGCTCTTTCCTCTGCCAACAGGTGGTCCCCTCCAAGTCTCTCTGACCTTCCTTTTCATCCAGTGACTGCAGACTCCCCTTATTGTCTCCTGGAAGGTGGAGGACCTTGCCCATGGCAAAAGACTGCAGGTTGTCTTTCTGCCCGAGCTTGTCTGTCCTCTGCGCACCTGCCTCTTCTGGAAGCAGAGTTCATGAGAAACTGCTGCCTCCAGCAAAGG